TTGTTTATGCATTAGCTCGCACCCTCTACTACACCCCATTCAGCCCTTCGATCTAGCCATACGCGATCGATCTTAACTTCTTCTCACATTTTCGTGCACAAAGATTTCCGGATCACACTTTCGACTAAAGTACGTTTTCTTTTATTTTTCTTTTGGCTTTTCTATCATTTCCAAAATGAAATTCTCTTTATCGATTAAAAAGATTACTAAAAAAGAAAGGGGAAAGTAAGTGAACATTTTATTTCTTTCTTTCTTTCTTTCTTTTTTTCTTTCTTTCTTTCATAGACCAAACGAAACACTCGTCGATATTATCGACTATCGTTTTGAAAAAGAGAGGGAAATAATATTAAAAGAAAAATATACTAAAGTTTGTTTTCTCTGGATTTAAGATAAGTGGTTTTTAATAATAGTTTCGAGAGAGAAGGTCTCGGTTGAAAGAAAATGTGTGAAATAATGGAAATAGAAGATAGCAAATTCGATCTTACTATATTATGATAGGTCCATTCGAAAGAATGGAATACGATCTTGTATTTTTGATTTAACTTATCCCGGTTTTCTTCTACCTTAGAATTACGAATCTAAAACAAAGAGTATTTTAAACAAAACAATAATTACGACGGAACAATCAACTACGGGGTTTCGATCCAAAAGAAAAAGCATTTATCGTACGGTTGATTGCGTTGCATAGTAATCTTAGTTTTGATTATGTTATCTCGAGATTAGTGCGGGGGTCAATGTTTTACCTAAGTTGTCTTTACCCACGAAGAGTAGGAAGAGGAGGAGGATGAGGAACTCAGGATTAGAATGGTTGCTTCATCAATTGCATACTCTGCTCATAGAAACTCGAGATGGAACAAAAAAGTGAACGAAAAATCAATGTTCTTTCGAAGAAATAATAATAATAATAATCAATCCGAACGTATTGTCATCAGTGAAATTTGATAAGATTTGATTATTTTCTTTTCCTTGCTCAAATAACAAATATAATTATTTATTGAAACGGCAAAAAAGTATAAAAGAAATAATATAAGTAAATTCTTAACGACAGGGAAGTGGGGAAAAGATTGGGAACGCGTTAGACTTTCTTTCCTGCATTAAGTGCAGTTAGTTCTCGTTCGGTCGAACGTCGGATGGTGATTCGAAGTATCTCAAGGAAAGACTCATTTGCAGCACCTGCTACTACGGACTGCTGAGTCAAGTGCGCATAGAAATTGAATACCGTCTGGATCCTCTCTCTCTCTCTCTCTTTCTCTTTCTCCGATCGGCAAACGGAGGGAGATTTGCCTCGAACTTCGTTAAAAATAATGCTCCTACGCTCTAGTTGCCATTCTCGAGCGTTTCGCTCCGATAAATTTTTCTATTTAAATCGTACTCAACGTAGCTCGTCCGAGTCGCATCAAAATTTCGTTACGAGTTATCTATATATATATATTTTTTTATATTCAAGTATATAAGATAACTTTCGCGAATACCGATAAACGAAACTAATAGGTATCTATAAATAAATAAATAAGTACACAGCAAACGTCGGTTTATTTGCTATCGAAGTACCCGTAAACCGTGTCACTTGTAAATGGTTGAAATGTTTCGAATATATTGAATCATCGTGGTCTCTCAATAATAATTTCCTATTTTTACGAAGAGAAAACTGAATAATGATAGTAACGAACAATGTACTTATCAAACGTTGTCAATTCGTTGGAATCAGATTAATTGAAACAAAAAAATGCACGATCTCGTAATGAGATTGAACGTGTTACCCACGTTTAATGTAGGAACACTTTTATAAAGCTAATGTCTTAATACGATAATTGTAATAACACGGGGCTGAAAATAATTCGCATAATTTTTACGATTCATAGGAAATTTAACGAAACGTTATATTTAGCCGAATGGTTTCAAGATCGTAAGAAAAAAAAAAAGAAAAACCTTACCTACTTTTTCTTTCGTAATATTTCGAAATAGTAGGCGAGAAGAGGAGATTGGTCCGACCGGACGGACACATGTCTACGAGACAAGAAATTCTACGTACATATATTAAGCTGGAAATGACGTAGAAACGTGTTCAGCATGCTAGAGACATCGGTCACATAGCATGGTACATATCACACGCGTACGTAAAGCGCATGCGAACACGCGCATCCTTCTCCACCACCACCACCACCACTACCACTACCAACACCACCACCTATTCCGGGGTACGACGACCTTCCGACACGAGTGATAGGGATGTCCTACGAATGAATCGGTATAACACCTTATGCTGGATGATTCATTACGAAACGACAACCGTCGTCGTCCTTGTCAAGCTACAGGCATAACTTCTACCCCCCGTCCCAGCCACCTTCGGCCCCTTCGCCCCCTTCGCCCATAAACTTTCCTCGATTTAACCACGAATATCGACGTTTACGTCGATTCCTATCTCTAAAGGGATACGAGCAAAATTATCGTCACCAAGTTAGAAATCTAAAGTCATCGACTACTCGGTTTCGGTACGAAACGAAGGAACGGCGTCCCTTTCCCTTTTCTTAGGGAAAACACATAATTGAAATTCACGGTTCGCTATAGGACGGATTAATTACGTCATGCTATGAATTAAGACGAGAACACCGGTGGGGAAGGATGTCGATAAAATCGAATAATAGGGAAGGATTTCGTTTCATTAACGATCAATCGGATTTCGGGGAGGGTGGAGGAGAGGGGAAATTTGCACAATATGGTAATAATATAATCTACGCGAATAACATTTAATAATTCATTAAAGCGTCAGAGAATTCGTTGTATTATTTCATATATAAAACAACGTATGCTTCTAAATAAATTTGATTTATCGTGTCGCGTTGGATAAAAATAGATTAATTTCAATATAATCGATCTAATACGAAACTCTTTGGGTTGTAATTTTATAACATTTCTTTTTGATTTTTCCCTCAAAGAAAATTCGACGAAATACAGAGGTATAAAAATACACGTGGAAATATGATAACGAAAGGAAAGAAGGTAAAAACGTTGAAGGGTGGGTGGGGGAGACGGTAGGGGAGAATCGTTTGCCGTGTATAATAAAGTCTAAATGAGAAATGCGAAAAATCTCGAATGCGGATATTAAATTCAGCGAATCGTCAAAGCCAAAGGACAGACGTCAAGCCGACAATAGATGTGATTACGTAGACACTATACATAGATAGATAGTACTCGTCATTTCTCTTGACACGCGTTTCATTCGCTTACCAGTACCATATCATTCGATATCTGGTTCACTCATTTCGCTTTCTCTCTCTCTCTCTCTCTCGTTATCGAACGAATGGGTGTTTCATTAGCACTCTTCTCCAAACGGCATACTAATTACGAGGATAGACGTAATAATTATATAGAGGATATCTGTCGTCGCGTGTCTACACTCGGCATTTCGGTGATGTTATTATTATTCGTTTGCCATCGAACGAGAATAGAAAAAAAAAAAAAGAAAAAAATTGTTCGAAACGAAATTAAATTGGAGGAAGAACAAATTTTTACGTACGAAACGACCATTTGTTTTTTCGTTTTTTCCTTCTCTTTTGCTTACTTTTTTTTTTCTTTTTACCCCCTACCCGTCCCCATGCCATCCGTTTAAACACGACTTACACTGAGCAATTTTTCATACCCGTTAGAATTATCTACGAAACTATCATTGAGATATGAAAATTTTTGTATAAACAAAAACATATTCGTTTAATTCGTTTAAAACAATTAGCTTGATTATTTTGACAATTTTACACATAGATATATATATAACTTATAGAAAATATTATTTCTTTTTCTTCTTTTTATTCTTCTATAGGGATTAAAAAGACAACATTCTTCTCCTATCTTCTTTCATTTTATCCTTAGATTACATTTTTTCCCTGATTCCTTTTTTTTCTTACTTTTTTTTCTTTAGGCATCACTAGCCGTTCTTCTTTTCTTAATCTTTTTATCTTCCTCGACTCCTTTCTTTTCACATCATCTTCTTTTTTTTATTCTTCTTCTTCTTCTTCTTCTTCTTAAGTTTACCTTCGAAGACGCGTTGACAACGAAACCGACGACCCTCTTCAAAGTCTCGAAATATAGAGAATAAGAAAGAGAGAGAGAGAGAGAAAGAGAAGCCTCGAACGTGCAACTTTTTAAAAAAGCATTACGATATAATCTGCGTTCTTCTTTCTCAGCGGTCTACCCCTTCTTTTTATTATTTTATTTTTTTTTTTACGACGATATCTCTCTAACGCGACCAGTTACACCGGGGCTGTTGGTTTACAGTACACCGTTAAACTTGCGTGAGACTTGGTCGTAAAAATAAAAAGAACTTTTTCTTGAAGCTTTATGTTTCGTAAAAGGGGATACGTCGTTCGGTGGGAAGGAATAGGGTGGCGGGGGGGGGGGGGAGGGATGCTATTGCTCGCAGCCGTTGCTCACTCGACTCGATCTAACGACGTCGATTTCTATTTTTATTCTATTTTAATTCTTTTGAAAAAAAAAAGTCAAATAAAGAGACTATATTATCTTAGAGGACGCATAATGCTTAACAAAAAAATTCCTTCGCGATTTTATATTATTATTTTAATTTATTTTCGAGATTAAACGAAAAGAAAAGAAAAGAAAAGAAAAGAAATGAAATGTAATGAAAAATGCACGGCCGACCTTTTTTTTATTTTCTTTCAGAAATTCGCTTAAACGAGTAACGGAGAAAACAGCATCGTTGGTTGGTTGGTCGGTCGGCTGTCATTAAGTCAGAATCGAGTGGCAGGCATGACAGAGCGTTTATGCTTATCGTTGTCTGGCACGACAAGCTGGGATACTCGATACACAGCAGCATAAGCAAACTGCTAATAATTCCAGGACTCCACTAGCTAATAATCAATAATTTTCCGTTTTGTCTTTTAAATTTTATATAACTGAGAAGATGGTCTAGGTTAATTAAAAATCTATAAAATATATTATAAAAGTGAACAAGAGAAAAAAAAAAAAAAGTAATAAACAATTATTACCAATACTTTTGATGAGCGGTGAGGCCGATGGTTGAGCTTGCAGGAGATGAGTACCCCCGAGAAGTGTAAGTACGATGCGATAATACTTCATAGTGATCGTCATCCTGTGTCATTTATTCCATGGAAATCTGAAAAAAAAGAAATATTTTTTACAAATAACGGTAAATAAATCTTTAACACAAAATAATACTAATTATTATAACTTATGTCGAAATAATATAAGATTTTTATTATTAAATCCAACAAACACAGAAGATTTTGGAAAGTACACAAATAATATATCCTTAGATTTGCAAAATGCAACTAGTCGTGGTAGCACAGCTCATAAACGTGATCTTGCTTTAGAACACCGACTACGGAAACCCTAAACGAACACGATATCAGCAACGCCCTTATCAGAATAGTATTATCTCGTTCATTCGTCGAATCCGTATTCGAATCTTACGAGCGCATTGTGTGCTTGTTCGAAGAACATATTCAACGGAAACGTTGAGAAAGCCGTATCTAAAGGGAGACTACGAAAACTGCATCGAACTGAGAGCTTCTCATCGAAGAGTCACAAAAAATAGGGGGCTCTTCGATTGTCGTTCTATTATCTTAAGGTATATCTACCTATGAGCATCTTTACACATGCATCTTCTTTTTCTTTCTATCATTTTTTCTCTCTCTCTCTCTCTTTATTCCTCAACCCCATTTAGACTCTTTTATACGATTTCTTTTTCTCCTCTCTTTCTCAGCCATTTAGTATCTTTTTTACGATTTTCTCACATCCCTTTTCTCTTTCTCTCTTTCTCTATTTCTCTTTCTCTTTCTCTTTCTCTTTCTCTATCTCTATCTCTCCCTTTCGTGTAACTATCTTTACTTCTAGCCGCGATAAGCTCCGGCACGGGAAAGAAACGACATCGAGTTTTTCGCACGAGCAAATCTATTTTAAATTTTCCCTCTTCTATATATATATATATCTTCTCTTCGCTAACGTTACGACGTAGGTATTCTCTCATTTTCTTTTACCATTTTCCTTGTGTTTGCACCGTTAGAAACACGATTCTCGTTTTCGCCTAAACGTTGGCCGCCCAACGTAGCATATTAATTTTCGATAAATCAACCCGAGCCTTTTACCTTATCCGACAGGTAACCGAAGACATCGGGATTCCGTGAAACGTTGACTAGTTACTTACAAGTTGAAGGCTTTCTCGACGTTTCCGTACGAAACACCATGTCGTTTCCTTCTCCCTATTTGTTTCATGCAAATACGTATCGTTTAACTGTTCCGTTCGTACCAGAACGCAAAACTTAGGTAGCTTTCGTTTTAGCATTTACCGTGGTGTCCGTAATCTGTAAGAATATTCCTCTTGATTTTCTGGCTCACTCCATTTCTATTTCTCTCTTGTTCTTTCACTTCGATGCAAATTAACATCCATTACGTAAACGTTACCGTATATCATACCACAAACGAGAACTTCTCTACAGTTCGGTTTCTACGTTCTCGTCGTTAACTCGATTGTAACGAAATATCGACTTCCGTCGACGGAATCGGTAAATCGATTTCATCGGAGAGCATTTTAAGCCAAGAGAGAGAGAGAGAGAGAGAGAGAATGAGAGAGGCCAGTACTCGCTAACTAGACTCGCTTCATTGTAATCACCGACGACGCACGAGTTTGCTTTATCGTGATTAATATCACCGTCACCGGCAAGGTAATCCGCCCGCCTATATACCTGATTAACATAGCTACAATCGTGATTCCACGGGTCATAAATTTCTAAGCATGGCGTAGCGATCGAATTGACAGTAGCCCTCTGCGTTACCTTCATTCAAACTTGCCCGGTAAATGCAAACTGTGCATGTTCACAGTGGTGGCACGCTTACGTATAAACATTATCATAACTACACGGTTATCCGGAGTAGAAGGTTAGACTCAATTTAGGTTTGCGAAGTCGTTACTAAGCCCTTTCCTGCTCGTACAATTTCAGATAGATAGTACTAACACTAACCGCGAACTTTGGGTCTTCGTATCAAGGCGTGAACATCAACTTGTAGCGAGAGAAGAGTAAGGATAGAGGTAGATAGATAGATAGAAAGAGAGAGAGAGAGAGAGAGAGAGAGAGAGAGAGAGAGAGAGAGAGAGAGAGGTAGGTTAAAGGAGGGAATTGTTCTCTTCCTAGAAGCAAGTTGACTACGAGACTACTTGCGTTTCCTTCGATCTGCTACCGGAACGCAAGTTCATCTGGAGTGTGCATACGACCGTTTCTAATGAACACTTATTACTCCTACGCATACTACTCTTGTTCCATTTGCAATTAAACGAATACTTCGAAGTTGGAGGAAAATAAACGATTGAATGATAATGATACGAATGAATGCGCAGTATTCCTTACGGATGAGTAAATCTTTCAAAAGAATCGTAAAATCGAATGATCGGTGAATACCGAGCTGAACTGCATATTATTCTGAAAAAAAAAAAAAAACAAGAAAAGAAAAGAAAAGAAATAAAAAAAGAAAACATATCGATCGAATTCAATCGTTGGATTCACTCAGTCTGATAGTCTTTTTCTCTCTCGTCGTACAAATAAATAATAGTCTCTGACTGCTTCTTTCCAGAATTCTTCTCAACATTTACATATATGAGAGTACACAACTGTACGCGTATATCTATCGCTATGTACGCGAAGGGGAAAAAAAAGTACGAGGCCGTAGAAATAAAACACGGACAAAAACATAATGCTAGGTCTGCGAGAGAAACTAACGTATACTCGGCAGCAGCAGACATAGGCATAAACGTAGAAAATATGTACGTACGATGCGAGCAACCCCTACCCTACCCCAACCCCATCCACCCACTGCACGTGTGCACGCGCCGTGTGCCACTAGAAAATCGAGCAACCGTGAATGGGAATGACTGGGTTCTTTGAGGCATACATTTTTGTAAAATATTCATGTACACCGACGGTGGCTGCGACTCCTCTGCTGCTGCTGTTGCTGCTAGAGGTTAGGAGAGGGTTGGAGGAAATAGTAGAGAGAGAGAGAGAGAGAGAGAGAGAGAAAGAGACAGACAATGAGACAGAGATAGAAATAGCACATACGTATAAACGAGACAGAAACCGTAACCACCCTTGTATTACCGCCTTTCAGGTACCGAGCAGCAAAAGTCAGAATTCGTTTTGGAACAAGGATCGAGACTACTACTAGTAGCAGACGTCTCTTTTCTTATGTAACAGTCACGTTAAATTTCGTTGCTCTTAGTGGTATATATGTATATTGGATCATTCGCTCGTTCGCAGCAATGCTCACAACACTGGAACGGCGAAACTATGGGAACGAATGACTTTTCGTTTTCTCTCTCTCTCTCTCTCTCTCTCTCTCTCTCTCTTTCTCTCTCGGTTTCTTCCTTGGATTGATTGAATGGAAGATTGTGAATGAAAGGAGAAATTTCTCTGTACTTCGTATAAGTAACGAATAAACGTGAATAAGAAATTGATTTTTACGTTTAACCCAGGTAACGCGTTTATCGAATCCGTTTCGTTTCTCATTCGATTTTATTTGAAATATAAAAAAAACTGACGTAAGGTCTTTTCCCTATTTTTGTTTGTTTTTAAGGAGATGGCTTTAAGGGAAATGAAATGATCAAACACGTTGAAGGGAGAAAAAGAGTAAAATAATAAGAGAAGAAATAAGAAGAAATAAGAAGAAGAAAAGTCGGACAGTATGTCGCAGCGTATACAAAGCCCATTCCGCAGTTGCATCCCGCAGCTGCAATCAGCGTGTCATTCCGGTACTGTGAAATTATACCGTCCACTTTGTTTGCTTTCTCGCTTTATGCTTGCTACGTAAAATGCTCCGGGTACATGCGCTCCCGGTATTCCTACCAATGAGAAAGTGAGAGAGGTTGTGTGAGAGAATGAGAGAGAGAGAGAGAGTAGTATGTGCGTGCTTGCTTGCTTGCTGAAGAGCAAACACGAGCCGCGAAAGGGTGGTGCTGCTGCTGCTGCACTGGCCGAAAACCAACACACTGGCTCCTGCGTATTCCGCACAGTTACGCCATGCAACCGGGTCCATTTGTTACAAGCAGCTTGTCCACCACCTTACACGATTACACCCGCGAACCTGGTGGATGTACGTTTACTCGAAAACAATGTAAACTTCTACTCGACTTCGATATTCGATCGGCAAACTATTGAAAATAAAAACTAGAAATGCATTATCACGCACACACACACACACACACACAATACCGGTTGGAAATTTATTATTATATACAACGATTTTTATTCTCCCCTCTCTTGCTTTTTTTCTGTTCTCTTTGCGTATCTTTTTTTTTCCACGGTAGAATGTCATTTTCAAACTTACTAACGAATATCTTTTACAATTTTTCAACGTTCTCTCATTATTTATCGTATTCGTAAGAAATTTTCTTTGTAAAATTGCTTTCATAATTATTTCGTTGCTTTAAATTAAAATATATCATTCCTTTTTATCTCATTTCCCCCCCCCCACCCCACAGCTACTATAAAATATTAAATAGATTTCATGTAGAATATATTTTCAAGTCTGTTTTATAGAATATTTCAAGGCCGGAGGAAGAAGTTCTAAACTTTTAACGTGATTTCTTACGTTCTCAAGTATTATATCGTCCATAATATAAGCAAATGTAAAGCATTTCCTCTTCTTATATTTCTTTTTTTCTTTTTGTGGAACTCGCGACAGCCATAACTCCGTCGGATATATGAGCTTTATTATATCACGGTATGTATATCACTTCTCTCTCTTCACGCGATACGCGATCAGTGCGGCACTTTTACCGTCTACGTGATGTACGACATATCTCATTAATCTGCGACTTCGTTCTGTCCATTTTATTTGTCTTTTCTTTTTTTGTAAATGAATGAAAAAACAAAAAGAAACACGAAAAAACAAAAATAAATATAATGATACCGAAAAACTCACCACACTAATATCATTCCAAATGGTACGAATTTGCATTAGTATCCAAATTTTCGCGTCTCACGTCATAAATTGAGGATAATTAATTGTTACTTTTGAACATATACGACAGTATAAAAATTTGTTCTAATTATATTGCTCAAACAACGTTTAATTTGAACAGCTTGTAGATAAGCATAACGTATGAAT